CACATGAACGAGGAAGGGGCGGGTCCCGACGAGCTCTCTGATCTCGCTTCCCCCATGGATTCAACGACGCGCGCAACCAGCCGCTGCGCCCAGCACGACGCGTTGCGAGTAGGATAAATTTATAGGAAACTTTGGATCGCCTAGCTTCGGGGAAGCATAGCATACGGCCCATGGATGCACGCGAGGTATCTCGTCCATAAGTTCGCATTATCATTGGCTCACTTCGTTAGGACCAGGTGTTATTGCCACCCACCTTCGAGTTGCGGTAACAGCACAACTGTGATGCTCGTTGGCTACTCTATCCTACCAACAGAACGAATTTTTGACAAAATCTCATTCCGGGGTTGTTGCCTCAACGAAACCATTAGCACCTGAAGCGCATTAAATACTCCTCTGAAGCCAGACAGCAGAATTTCACACACAGATATAAACACTAATTGAGTGGCATTTTATCTTGAAATTACCGTCCCGGACGCATGAGCACGCAAACAGGTTTATCTGACCAGCTCGTTTCACGGGGACGACATCGAGCAAAACAACCTGGTTCGCCTACTCAACAATTGTTTTTGTTGGCTATACGGTTTCAGCTCAAAGTAACGCTGTTGAGGCCACGCGATTCAGTTGTCCTATAACTTAAAGGCACAGTACGCATCAATGCTACATACCTTCCTTGAATAAGTTTACATCCCGGCTTACCACCAGAAGTAGCAATCATATTGTAGCGCCAAACTATCCTTTGGCACTTTGTGCACACAATAGTTCCACATGTTTTCTATTATGTGCACTGCGCACCCAACTAAGCGTCACGAGTGTGACCTCACTTGATATCACGAGGCATGGCCCGTCTGTGCCTTCGAGATTGTGAGCATTATTCTACTGACTACCAAGGACGGTACACCGTCGCCAAACAATTTGCGAGTAAGTTCCAAACAATTCCACCATGTATTTTACTGAAAGTTGTCGGATAAGTGCATATAGTATCGAGAGAACCTCACAACAACCTATTTGGGAAGTTGAACGCATCTCGTTTCTTAGAATAGTACAAGGGGAATCAATCCCATGAATTTAAAATGCGAGATTTCACTAATCGAACACCAATTTCCGAATGACTGATTGTGAGTTGTTCCCAAACACCATAGGAATTGCGCGAAAAGTCCACAGCATACAATTCTTAAAATGGCTATGTTGAAGTGTTGTAAGGAGGTGGTTTACTCCGAGAGACCTCATCATTCAACGGACGAGTTTTTCTGATATTTTAGAGGAAGAACCAACAAATATAGGTTCGAAGGTAATCCTACTCAAACACTAAGGGAGGATATGTTTCCATTTTGCACTGAAAAAAATAAATAAATGTTCATCTACGTTTATTAATCGTCATTAAAACTGTTTGCACAGGATGTTTCAAAAAAAAATGAACGCTCACGAAATTTTTTCTTTATTTCTTGCATAACTAGCACCTTGCCTAAAAGGAATCAGTCCTTTCAGCACGGTTTTATTTTTTCCCCGGGTGAAAAATCTACTGTGCGAAAAACTCGTCCGCGACTCTCCGCACAGGAATGACAACGAACTCCTACTTTCATCAGCTGGAAGACTTCCCATTAATACTTTATAATTGTGCGGCTGTTTTAAGGTCGTTTACTTCTTTTCAAAGCTTGAAACAATGCATTTTGCACGTGAATGCGAAATTTGAAGCATACGACGAAATGCAGAGTGGAGAGTTCCCTAGGAATAGCTGACCATGAATGTGGAGAAGTGAAATTCTAAGAAAAAGCAGACCAATCTATTGTGAAGAAGTATCGGAGCTTTGGTTGAGTTGAAAGGAATTCAGCAAAAAGGTTTCAAGGAGTTCAAAGGACGAGTTTCGTTGTTCCAGCACGCCCACGGCAATCTCGTCCACATGACTTTCGTTTTTCTCATGACCGCGGTGATGATCGTTCTTGTTAATTGATGATTATGTTTGCGATGAGTTATGTGGTTATTCTAACGATCTCTGGTTTCAGGTTAATCCTCAGAAGTATGCTGCTTAGCCTCCAGTATTGAAATAGTTCGGTTATTGCTAATTCTTGCCTCTCATCGACATGAATACTGTTCGTCTGTTATCGTGCACTTTACGTTGTCGCTTTAAAACACAACATCAAGTGAGTCGGTTCTTCTGCTATTGCTTTAGTGACCGCCTTTACGTACGTATTCTGTTTCTCTAAATATTTCAGGTACGACAATTATCAACACTTGTAAAGTCGTTTAATCTTCGATTTCCTCGCAAACTTCTTCAAAATAATGTACGATTCAATAAAGCAATATGACCGTTGTTAAGGTGATACGATGTTATATCAACTTCTATTTAGAAAGGAATTATCAAAGCCGTGACCAGGACATGTTTTCATCCCGGTGCAAGTACACTAGTCCCGCTTCAGGTACGTTTTCGTTAGATATTCTGGCGCAATGTGGCTCGGGGGGGGGGGCACTCTGAGAAAAGTCATCTAGGACTAAGCCTAAACAGCAGGGACGAACTCCGGAGAATACGAAAATTGCTTCCGTACACCGGAGTTCCTCTCCTCTTCAAAAGCTTAGTCCTAAAACGGAGCGTTTCCGTGATTTTGACGCGATGTTGCGAGGTGCCCCCCGAGCCACATTGCGCCATATCTTAGTAGCAGCTAATCGAAAGGAAGGTCTTCCAAAATACCTTAACTGACCTTTCGGGCCGTAAGCCCCTTCCTCAGGGGCGGTATTCAATCCTTTCCCCAGGGGGATATATCCCCCTGGGGGAAGGATTGAATACCGCCCCAGGTCTACAACATCATCCATACATTACGTACGTTTATAAAGGAGTGAATTATATACAACAAGATGTACAAGTGCCTGAAGCAGCTAACCAGTTACAAAAGGGGAAATCCGGGCAGGGGGAAGCGGATCGACTCCGCTGGGTTCGTGGTTCGCTGTAAGATTAATGACAGAAAGATGGAGAGTACGTGAAAGTTCATGAAAGTTTTGTTGAACAGTGAGGCTCAGGGACCTTTGATCTTAATTGATTTGTGGTAGTATGAGATCAAAATTTGCAGATTATACATTCAGGCGAAGACCGAACTCAGTGGCTGGCAGCTTGTACGGCGGCTTCTGCGATATGTTTGGCCAAAGGGTAATAGGGCAATAAAATCAAGGGTTCTTGTTGCGCTATGTCTACTAGTCGGTGCAAAGGTTAGTCATCGCGTCGTTGTAATGTAAGACAGCGTCATTTTGAAACTTTCATTAGTCTGAATCTTTTTCAGCTTGCAAACGTTGTCTGTACCATTTTTATACCGCGACATCGTCAACTGTTATAATGAGAAAGCACCTACTTTCATACAACTCACATTCGACACGGTTCCTAACGCTATTTTCACGGTTGGAGTTGTATCGATTATTGCGTGTATGTTTTCCATTTATCCATTCTTTTCCATGCAAATTTATGACATTTGCCTGATTAAGAGTGACATTTTGTCGAGCAGTGAGGCGTTTTCAGATGGTTTGGCACGAGCATCTTCTGCGTTGATGAATGAGCTGCGGAATGCCGTTTTTGCAAAAGTCGCACACACATCAGTACGAAGCATCGCGAGAAATATATTCCTTCATTTACATTCTCTCGATCTATCGTTCCACCTCAACCGACAGACTGGAGCGTTGTCAAAGGCTATAGGTCATATCTCTTTGTCTACTTGACATACTTTAACACATTGCGGACCGCCACTGTATGTGTACCTTCGTATATTTTTTATATTTTTCAAAAATATGTCATAATTGATCCATCAACAATTTTATCAGCAATGACACGTATGGTTTCCCGGCTCTGGAAATGAGTGCAACAGTTCAAGGAGAATGAAAATGTCAATAAACTGGAGAGGTACAAAAGGCTGCTCTCGTGGCGAAATCGTGCGCACCATAGTGGCGACGCGTTCCAATGTGTTAATTTAGGTTTACAATTTACTTTTTAGATCGCGGCACAAGAGGAATGAGCTTTGTTCTCTCATCTCTGGTGTTCAACATTGTTCCTACTGCTGTGGAGATCGGAATGGTGCTTTTTATTGCTTTTCAGCCCCTACTCAGTCGAATAATGTTTCCCTGATGAAGAGAAGAAATGTTTCAGGTGTCTGCGATTTTTTGTGGCACACTGGGATCGGAGTTCGCTTATATGACGATGGGTAGCATTGGAATGTATACGATCGCAACATTAGGGATTACTCGGTATTCCAGATGTTTATTTTGATAGATAATATCCTATTTCTAGCAAAACTTTTGATAGGGGTAGCGGTCGGTGTGCTCTCTCTCCCAAGCTCTTGTTCGTTTTTGTTTCTTTGCGTTTCTCATTTTTTTATTCCTCTCTGTCGCTCTACGTCCCTCCATCGGTCCTTCCTGATGGTTTTGTTGTCATTACCCTCTTTACACTTCTTCTTTCTTCATCACATCTTTGTTTTCTATGTGTGTCCTCTTCGTATACCTCTCTCTTTTCAGTAGCTCCCGAATCTGTCGCTTCACCTTGTTCATGTATCGTTTTCTTATGAATTAATTCGCACTTTTTCTGTATTCTTCGTTTTTCTTGCTTTCATTTTTCTACTTCCAGGCTGGCTAGTGCCAGTGTGCCTCCCATTGCGCTTCCTTCCTTTTGATCTTCGGTAATTTACAGCCTCTACATATCCTTTTGCCTTTCTGCTTTCTTATTCCTAACAATTTTGTCCTTTCAACTTTTTAGTTTCTCATGTCCTTCTCGTTTGTCACTTCCTCCAGAGAAGCACTCAACTGCGAAATTGCTCAACGCATGCGTTATACTGACAGAGGCTTTGGAGACCCAGTAGGTATTGTGTGTAGGACACAGAAAGAAAGATAAAAATGAAGTAAAAACTTCACACCCCTACGCAAATACAAGTATCTGGAGACCTAAACATGAATCATCATATTAAGGTGGCGGACAAAATTTCGCCATGAAATGAATCAAGCTGACAATGATGCTGGTAATAAAGCAGTTGACTCCCTCATAAACTACGAAACAGTCAAGGTAAGCTTCAAGGAATTTCGATCTTTCAACACTTTTATGATATCTGATTGCTAGTCCTAAATAGGCGTCCAAATTGACATTAGAGCTGTATTGATAAACACAATACGTCAGTAGAACCGTTGGCCAGTAAATTCTCTTCCTTTTCTGAGTTGAGGATAAGAAGGCGGCTGCCTCTGGAAATGATTGAAGTAGCATCTGACAACTTCGATTTTATCTGTAGTAGTAGCAAAGTGACACGTTCCCTGCGTCTTAGCCACTCCAGCTATGAGTGTTTTATGTGCACTCCTATAGCTTTTCTTGTGATAGCGTAAATTGATACGAAGCTAATAAATTGTCTCTGATGGGAGGGTCGAAGCGGATTTTTGTCGCGATATTTTGTGCAAAGCCCTCGATAATGGGTTAGCACCAAATTTTTTCACGACCATGGCTCATTTAATTGAGAAATTGATGAGCAGCTTTGAATCTTCGGGCCTTTAGAAATGCTGTTTCCTTGTTCATACATCAAGCTAGCAATGTTGTCGACAGACTAGTGGCGAAATTTTGGAAAAAAAAAGAAAGTAGTAGCCAAGTATCACATAGGACCCTGTTTTCTTCTTGAATCCTTATTTTTTTCATCAACAGTACTTCAACAACGAGAAGTTTGAAGCGGATCGCTACGACTTCTACCTGAAGAAATTTGAACATGCGTCCTTGAAAACGACATCATCTCTGGCATTATTGAATTTTACACAGAATGCTATATTTTCCGCGGGACTCATTGGTGTCATGTATCTCGCAGCGAATAAAATAGCAACAGGTTCGTGGATACTTGGTTTGATAGATTTGAACTGATAGACTTCCTAACCTTGTCTGCTTTTGTTGTCAGTGTGATTTCGTTTCAGGTGAAGCGACGGTCGGAGATTTAGTACTGGCAAACACTTTACTTTTCCAGCTTTCGATGCCCCTCAATTTTCTTGGTGCGTTCAAGAACATCTTAATGTAGCACTGTGTCAATCTCTTTTTTAGGTTCTGTTTACCGGGAAGTTCGACAAGGTCTCGTTGACATGAACGCTATGTTTTCTCTTCTGAATCTGAAGTCACAGATAAAAGAAAAGCCAAACGCAAAACAGCTTGTTGTTCAAGGAAATGACATAACCATTCAGGTAAAAAGTCAAAGTTAGTCTTTCTTTGAAACATCATTCCCTAGAATTAATTTGCTGTTTAGATAAAAGATGTTCATTTTGGATACTTACCGGGAAAACCAATTCTCAATGGTCTCACCATGGAAATCCCGGCCGGCAAAAAGGTCGCAGTAGTGGGTGGTTCTGGCTCAGGGTAACTTTCTATTTCTCTGATTCTCCAATTGCTTCTTGGTTCGAGTAAAAATCTCGGAAGAATGCAGTCCATTACTTTCAGTAAATCAACACTGGTACGTCTTCTGTATCGATTATATGACGCGGATAGTGGCACCATTGTTATAAATGGCATGGATATTCATGACCTGACTCTTGCATCTCTCAGAAAAGTGATTTCTGTGGTACCACAGGTAAACTAGCTAAGATATTGGATGCCTGCAGTAGAGCTTCAAAGACTATTTTTTCACTTGTTGAAGGATTCCGTATTGTTCCATGACACGATTTTCTACAATCTGGCATACGGGAATCCAAACGCCTCTCAAGAAGATGTTTTCAAAGCTGCTAGGTTGGCAGATCTTCACCACTCTGTCGAAAGTATGCCGAATGTAAGTTTTTGATCAATTTCAACATATCACTATTGCAGTTACCCATTTTTCAGGGCTATAACACGATTGTTGGTGAACGAGGGCTGAAATTATCCGGTGGCGAAAAACAACGAGTAGCGATTGCAAGAGCGATTTTGAAGGTATTATCTTTTATTTCGTTTAGCCCTTCGCCTATGATATTTGATAGCTAATTGTGCGATCTTCAGAACGCTCCTCTGATCGTTTACGACGAGGCTACGTCGTCACTGGACGCCATTACAGAGGCGAACATCATGCGATCGTTAAAAGATGCGGTTCAAAAAAGGTTTGCAATGTTGTGAGGCGATGTAAGCTGAGTACCTAAGTGAACTACTTTACAGAACCTCTCTCTTCATTGCTCATCGATTAGCTACGATATTTGATGTTGATATAATTTACGTCTTGGACCAGGGGCAAGTGAAGGAGTTCGGCTCCCATGATGAACTCATGCGACGCGGCGGACTGTATGCTCAACTCTGGAATAGTCAACATCGATTAGGAATACCTGTACCGGTAAGGATTCCCACCCAATCTTTTCTTCCTTAAGTTGGAGCTTTTTGACCTCACATCTTACTTCTTTTTATAGCCAAAGGAGCCACAGAAGCACGACCACTTGGAAACATTGGAGCTGGAGCTGGACAAATGCTGTGGAAGTTCGAACTGTACCCGCTAGGCTAGAAATAGTGTCGAGTTTTTGGACGAGTTACTCGAATGTAGTGAAAATAGTTGTTATTGCCAAATTCGTTATTGTTTGAACTAGTTTCTGGCAACTCATTGTTGTTTGATTGCCTTCCAGTGATAAGTCATCCCGTTGTTTTAACCTTAAGATAGGTTTTTAACAGCTCTAATGTTCATACGATATATCAATGTTGTCAAGCTTTGTACTTGTTGATCTACGCCCAATCTCTCCAGTATCCTTTAGAATCTTCACTTCACCGTGTGATAAACAGAGAATATACATTTTACTCACCGTTTTTCGAAGCACAAATAGATGTTGGAAGCAACTTCATACCTTACGTATTCGTTTCGAGGTTTAGTGCGAGTTCAGGTTTACAATAGCGTTGCCTTTCAGGTCCAGAACAGCATGTCGGGCTGCCTGGACCAAATCAGTTGCAACTGCAACATTGATTTAGATGGTAAGAGAAATGCTATCGCTTCGGTCACAGCGGCTACCCTTTTCTCTGTGGCTTGGTGGCTCATGATTGATACCTCAGCTGTGTATGGAAAGGTGAGGGATCGTAGAGGCTTAGTAAAGTCCCAATCAGGTTTGATGTATTTCTAGGCTGATTGGAATAATGTATACTACATAATCACTGTAGGAAGTACAGTTGCAATGTTTATGGTGAATGCAGTATCGAATAGCCAAGTGCGGGGTGAAAGTCTCCATGAAGGACTTTTAGGGACGAAAGGTAAGTTGCCTAAATTTCGTTCAACAGGACATAAATATTCATCAACAACTTCAATAGGTTCACGTCTTTGGCTGATGGCAGCGTTCGTGCTTTCGTTCGCGTCATTGGTGGCAGCCACTTGGGTACTCTTCAGCGACTATGTCCTTCTCACCGGTGATCATCCAGTGTGGCCTGGAGTAGCACTTTTCCTTACCAATTTCATAATTTTTGCCTCATCTTGTGTGTACAAATTTGGCCGTACCGAAGAAATGTGGGGATAAATGTAATATAATTTCAGTTGGTCCCCTATTTATTCCAGGATTTCGCTTTTTCTTTCCATCGGAGGCAAACACAGGCCATAATTTCTACTTACTTTTGTGAGGACATGTTCATACTTGTATTGGACTAAAGTATATTTGAAAATGTCTCGTACAGCTCTGATTTCCTCAGTGTCGTTTTGCTTCTTTTCAATTTACATTATAGGGACCAGTTTACCAAAGCGGAGATGTCTGGTAAATTCTGATCGTTAATATTTTGATATGAATATTTCAAAGTAGAAGCTTCAGTGCAAAGTCAGGGTTGGGTTTTCATTATAGAGTGAAGTTCCAAGTGTCGACTGTACCACTTCGAGAGACGAAGCGCCCAAAAAAGGGGTTATGCGTGCCCCTGCTCACTGCCCTCGTCTTCTCAGAATACGACGTCATCTGCAATCGCCATCGAGCTCAAGAAGGTCATCTAAAATTGCTTTAGCTTTAAGCTGCTACTTGATCACCTCAATCGTTAGCTGATGAAAATCTCGCTAGAAATAGTAACTCTGGTAGCTTTGACTGTGCAATACCCCTTCCAACGCGTTTTAGATGACGTCGTAGTGGCCCATGACCCGTCGAGGACCACGTTGAGCTCGAACCCTGCACAACGTTTCAGTGGCGAATTCTTCTGATGCCGCCGGTGAGAGGGCTATTATGTGGTAACGATTGGAATGGGTTCTTCAATTTTCAGTTGAGATCGTTCGGTTTGAATTCAGAAGAGTGGTAGTGCTGTCTCACACGTGAAGTGTCTCTTTTTCGCCACTCCTGTATATGCTAAATGTATTTGGATTACCCCTTTAAGAAGCATTTCGTGAGCTCAATTGGTCTTATTACAAAATAATATAATGGGAAAGTGGCGCACTTTTCACGAGCACGGTTTGCGGGTCAAATCTTGGATCGACCCGCCCAAGCCTGCCGGTCTTCCCATTCTCCATGATCGGCCGGCGGTAGCAGTTTCATTTAGGCGAATAAAAACACCGTTTTTTTTTATCGGCTGGCGTCCGCAATTGCATAAGCCATACCGCATTCATGTGCCACCACAATCTTAAAGGAAGTAGAATGCATGGCGCATCCCAAAAAGGAATCGCTTAATACCGAATGCATTATCCTTTCGAAATTACTCTAGACCATTTCCAAAAGCGTCATTTCAATTTCACAATCGCTCATGAGATTCTTTTATTGATTTTTCTAGAAAAAAACTATAAAATTATCACCAGCTGCACAGTTATACTGTAAAACATGCAAAAAACCCATTCCATAATCGTTGACAAAAAATTTACAATGTACAAAATCTCAATAATAAATATGGCAAGCGTTATCCGAGGTCAGTAGGGAAGTGAGGGCGCGAGAAAGATGTTGATGTTCCTGGATCAAATCCCGGTTGCTGCTGTGGGAACTGATACGGCATTCGGATAACACCCACACCTCCTCCAAGTCGTCTGAAAAAATTCCTACCTCGCTAACGGAATCACGTATCCAAAGAGCTAAATCATGAACGTCAACTAACCGATAATTCATGCAACCGTGATGCCTCCATTGATTTGCTTCAGGATCAAAAACTTCAGCTGTTTTTAAGTAGGTTGTGCCATCAAACCCACCTACGGCGAACAGCTTCTCGTTCACAACAGCCAGTCCCACCTGAAATGACCGCGTTCCCTTTAACCGCTGACACTTTATTGATGCAGATATTTAAACTCACTCCAGATCGCCTGTTGTTCATGGCAACAACTGCAGTCCACTCATTAGTGAGAGGGTTATACTTTCTCAGCTGAACTCAGTTCACATGAGTCATCTCGTCCACCTACGGCGTACAAATGACCATCGAACACTGCAGATCCCAAATGTTTCCGACGTGTTGACATAGATCGAACCACTTCCCATTTACCAACTCGTGGGTCTAGCCTAAAACGTGAAGCACTATGTTTAGTATTGATGACACTACTTAAATTGTTCAAAATCACAAAAGTTTGATCGCCTTGCGATCGTCGGTATATCCCACGAAAGTCATTTTCCCTCAAAAACTTTCCCCGAGGTACCGAATTATTCTCACAAAACACATAATTTCACCTTCAACCATAACGCTACCATATCAATGCGCAATGAATCACCTTTCCTACTGTATTCAAAGGTGATTGCCCATCGGATCCTCCGACAGCGTATAGACAGCCATTGAGCACGGAAACAGAAACTCCAAGCCGACGTGTACCCATTGGTGCCACACAAGTCCACTCATTTCGCCGAGCGTCATAGCTAGAACAGAATGTAAAATCGTACATTAACGAGACTCGCTCAGATCTGCCCTTACCGCTCAACGACGTCCAGACAATTTATGCCATCTTGGCCACCCACTGCGTAAAGAAAACCGTCAAGCACAGCCACACCAACTGACGTCCGACACGTCGACGTTGGAGCGACATCACAGGACCACTGATTAGTAGCAGGATCAAATCTGAAATTGTTTTTTAGGATGATCACTCGAGATTTACTTGAACTAGATTGTTCATAAGCGTTTTGTGGTTTCAGCAGCAAGCCGATAATGTTGTAGCGCAGTGAAAGCCGCGTGTTACATCGGCGCTTCAAGGGAATACATCGTATTCAACCTGAATCGCATCCACCATGTTTTAGGAGTAGCTAGAAATATTTTGCATGAAGAGTTCCCGTATCCTTTTTCTCTATTTTTCTTCTTTCCTTTTAATTTCCTTCCTACAAAAAAATAGTGCTTATTCTCCCATATCTCTTAAATTCCGGATAAAACTAGGCAGTAACAAAATATGAGATATTTTGATCTCGCGCCGTAAACCAAACAGTACTGGACGTAACTCGAAACTAATCAATTATCACTGGAAAGTGCTGACGTAGGCCGAGTCATCAGTTATCTTGAAAATTCTGTTTATTTTTTTGCGATCAACACGAACATGGCTATCAATTGCTTAAAAGGCACTGAAAGCAGCACAATCCTCGAGAATTGTTCCTCCATTCTTTTGAAGACAAAAGTAACAGAAGCAGTAACTGTAACTAATAGTGAAAATGCGCTCAGTACCTCTCAATGCTATTCAAATAGGTTTGTCCATCATGGCCACCGACAGCGTACAGCAAATTGTCAACGACAGCAACACCGACTCCACATCTGCAAAAAAATGTTCCCGAAGAGAACACCTAACTCCATTAACAACTCTCATACCTTCGTTTACTCATGGGAGCAACGCACTGCCATACAGGAATTGCTTTCCCAGGATCGAGGCGTTCCACAGAAGCGATCGCATCCCCACTGCACCATCCACCCACTGAAAGTTACACAAATTAGAAGTGACCCATTCGCACACTTCACAAATATCCCCTTCAAACTTTAAGTAAGCATCTTAAGACCGTAGTAGTACTTCGCGACTGCCGTGCACTTCCTATGTGAACAGATAGGTATCGATCATGTGACTGCACGATTGCAGAACCCTATGGCCAGTATCTACTCCAAACAGAAACTGCAAGATGGTGGCGAAGTATGACTGCGGCCCGAGTCAGCTACGGAAACCTCGATTCAATGTTTCTCCCATCGATAGCATTCAATATCGGAGCCCCCAAATGAGCCTCGCCCTCTTCGTATTCCCTATCTTCAAATGCAACTTGTTCCAATTTTATGGCGGCGATTTTTCCCGACAAGCTAATACGTTCAACTCAGACTCCTTTTATTAGAAACTATCAAAAACGAGTACAACATACCAGCGTACAAAACTTCTCCAAATTTGATTGGTTTTCGCGGTCGAGTGCGTGGTCCCTGCATATTCGGCCGTTCAAGTGGTAGAAGCAGGTAGTTCTAGAACCCGGAACTTTTCCAAGAAAGACTTGGAGTAATCAAAGACCCACTACCTTCGCTTCAATCAAAGTCTCGGCAAGCGCGTCAGCTTCACTAACGCAATCCTCAGCTATACAGTGCTACAAGGAATTTTCGTGCATGACAAAGGGAAGCCGTAACATCTCCAGTAACGTGCAAAAAAGGTATAAATTGTCAACAGATATGAAAAGGTCGTTTTTTTCGCAACCTTCGAAAGAAGAAACTTGTTTTCGGAAGGCAGCCAGGTCGAAACCCTACCCAGTTGAAAATAAATGCTGCAAAAACCTGAAAACCACAGTAAGCATGGTTAGAAGCAGGAATGTGATAAGAGCAACAAAAATTGTGGATAACCTGCTCTTCTGATCGCACATGGAGCTCTTCACTTGAAATAAGTTCAACCAACTGGTTTACAGGAAGCATAAGAAACTCTTCAGTGCCAACAACATCCTGTAGAAAAGAATATATAAACAAATTTAAAGATAAAATTAAAAATAGATAAAAGGGAGAAGTATCGTTTTAAGTAGGACGTATACTGACAAACAATAACCTGGAAATTATGCAAGGTATACTTGTCAGCGCTACGAAGAAGCTCCCGACATGCGTGAGTGTCAGCAAACGCTCGGATGCCCAAGCAATTGGACGGATCCAATTGCTTCTTTAGAAACTCACAGCACACTTCCTGAGAACAAAAGAAAAAATCATCATAGTAACCTTCACAATATTAGACATTTGAACAATGCAAAACTTAAACACTTATCAGCCCAACCTGAACTTCATTCAACTGAAGGAGACAAGCAGCTGGCAGAATGCTCTGTACATTGACGTCACTGATTTTTATCTCACCAGAGTAGCAGAAGTTAACTAACGCATCAAGCGTCGAGGCTTCCATATCGACCATTTCAATTTCTTCTGCAAGCAACTGATAATAGAAGTATTACAAGACCAGTGATCGCAAACTCTGCATAGTGTTACTGAAAAAAAAAACTTATTGAAGAAAAAGCAACACGCCATAAACATACGCAAGCGACTTTCGGCCATTTCGTTAGTAAACATGGCTTTGAAATAATTTGAACATGCAGTGAGTACTAGTCGATGAGCATTGATTCGTGTTCCCTGAAACATCTCTCACTTCTATACTGAATTGTCTAGTATGTTGGGCTGACTACCTTGACAACCAGAGCCACATCACACAGCCGAGAGTCGTCACGAAGTTCCGCGAGTTGAGTGAGCAGGAGCCGGCTGTGAACAGAGCTCTAAATATTGCACATGAAATTCTACCGAGAATATGAATAAAAATATGAACAAAGTATACATTGAATAAAGCAATACACTAGTGCCAGAGATAACCACACTGAAATTTCGAGTTATTTCGAATGGGGGGCTGGCATCTCGGCGTAGCCCTCCAGTGGGTGGGGATCCATAAGATAATGGGGACCATTCATTTGCTATCAGTGGTGAAATTGATGTCAGACTGAGCACAAGATTTCAATGGATTTTGTAGCTCGAGCGAAGCCATACGATCAACATCCGAAAGCACTACAGTGGTCCAAATTCAATGAAAAAAAAACCAGCGTGACCTAGCCGGAGTCGTACTCCGCACTTTGACTAGCTGGAAATGAAAAGTCGAAGATGTCAAAGATGGTGAGGAACAGTAATCCCTCACCCCCCTCCCCCTTCTGCTGATCACAATTTTATCCTATAGAGAACAGAATCAAACCTGTGTCGTCGGCGACTGCGAACGGAAGGTTCCTGTCTTTCCAGAAAGAGAGCTATTTATCCCTCTGAGGAAATCAGCGAACTCGCAACCCGAGTCAGCATTATATCTTCTCGATTGATTAACCCCACTTGGGACTGCTTCGTAGGGTTAAACACTCAATAGTATCAAAGCAGGAACACCATTTCGTTCTTCATAATTGATATGAAAAAGAAACTCGCAGGCTTCTTCTAGAAACATGTTGCTCACTAGTGGTAAGTGGGAAGAGGGATATTCCCCATCCCATCTCGAGCAATGGATGCATCTTACTCTCACCTTCAAGCCCAGACAGTTATTTTAGCAGGTCATCGCTCAAGAGATACTGGGCACAAAGGAAAGAAAATCTCTTGTGAAGCTATTGAATTGTCAAGTTTAGGAGCAACCTTGAACTCATTGACCACAACGAGTTTTTTGCATTCTTGGCGCTTCGGACGGACGCAATTTTGCGAGCAAAAATGGCAAAAAGTAGGAAATCTAAGACAAACTTGGCGGGATCTAGGAACCTAATTTTTTCAGGCATGAGGGCGGAGGCTTGATTGTATGGCACCACACTTTCGCCAACATCTTATTTTCTCCTAACTTTCATAATGGGAAACTCGTCGGCGAATTTCGGAACGTAGAAGTTGCGTCGAAGAGGGTACCGCCTTGTTCTACGACCTCTGCGAAAACGGATATGGCACCTTTAAAATATAAATAATGGGCAAAAGACTACCTTATGATACATCGGGACTACCATCGATGTAGAGGCTGCTGATGCTTGACCGGATTTGGCGTCGTGAACAAGGTCATCACCAATTTCCATGACTGCAGCAGTCATTGGAGGCGAAGCCTGACCAAGGATTGGAGTGGATCACTTCCGCAGCAGCTCTTTTAATGATAATGATGACAAGCAACTGATGCCGGCGCCACGAAAGGCTCTGAAAAGCAGCTGCTTACTTTATTTCACATTACTGTAGGACAGTAGAGACGCAAAGTGCTTGCGTATCGTTCCGCCAAATTTACGCCAAAATGGTTGACTGCACGGCGGGCGCCTGCACATACCATTCTACTTTGTGTGGGCCTTCCCTGGCTTTTTCTGTTTTTTTGACAACCCGGAACAATATTTGGGCTATATATTCCCTTGGAACTACATAGATCAGCTTAAGGCGTGCTAATTTGCGAGGGCATTTTGTTCCATCACTCCGTGCGGGTTTCGGTAACCCCAACTTTGCACAAGAAGTCCTCCAAGGCTAGAATGCTTTGAGGTTCAGTCCTATGCCAGTCAATTTTTATGTGGTGCAAAATTCGGTAATCATGGTGCAAGAAGCGGTTTCGATTCGGAGGACATGGATTTTTGGACGAGGAAGGAGCTCCGGTAACAATCCCCGGAGCTTCTCAGGTGAAGTCATGCTTTGCAACTGTTGTGCTATGTGCGATCAATCTGCACTTGGTCATTTAAGGGTAATCGCCGTATTGCATTTATTGTGACCTTTGAATGGGCCTCTCCATCCCGGAGAAGTGAACAGTTCAAGGTAGTCGAAAAGTATGACCGAACCCTTACGTACCACTGAAGTTAGATAATCTTTTTCATCTGC